GATGTCGAGGCTGATCCCAATGCTTCGTTTTCATGTTATGTGTTCGATTGGTGGTAGTGGGCGGTGGCCCACCCTCACTCGATCTGCGCACCTCGACGCCATCCCCGTCCTCGCTCAACACCCCCTTCCCTCCTCCTCCTCCTGGCCTCCTTCCGTTGGCGGCGCGCAATAGGTGGTAGGGGAGAGGGGTGAAGGCTTCTTAGAAGGAGGCCGTTTCTTTGAAAACGCGGGCCCTTACGTCTACAGACAAGGCCCGCGCCTTCTAAAAAACAGGGGTGCTTCTGCGAAGCCTTCCCCCCTCCCCCTACCCCCCTCTGCGCGTGGCCGACCTTATCCCTTACAGTCAAGCTGCTACAACAACTAACGCCGAATAAGGAACGAGCACCTGTTGGGCCCAAAAAGTGCCTGCGCACGAGGAAAGCTATAGCTATAGGAGCAGCCATCTCGAAAGGTCAAGGAACAGCGTGACTCTTCTGAACCCAAACTGTGCCATATTTCAACAGCCTGACTGTACCTGAAAAAGAAAAAAAACATAAACAGAAACTTTGGGCGCTCCGCGCGAATTTCCTGGACTCGCGCTGGACACCCCTCCCTGGCGCGCTCCGCGCGCCAGGGGCGGCGCCGGAGGCGCCGCCGGAGGGCCCAGCGCGGATGCAAGATCTCCGCGCGGAGCGCAAAAAGTGTATGCTTGTAGCGTTTCTTTCTTCCTCGATCCCTCCCTCCCTCCCTCCCGCCCCCCCCCCCCCTGCCTCCATCTCCATCTCCATTGCTCGTGCCCAGCGCTCTCGCATCTGCTGTGCGCCCTGGCCCCTGCTCTTCATCGGGCCTGCCGGCTGCGGAAGCAGGCACACGCGCTGAAGGAGGACAGCGACACCACGGTAATTGCGCTGGGCAGGGCAAAGACTCGGAGGCCCTGAACCAGGGCGTTTCGGAAGCTGGGCGAAGGCTGGCAAATCCGTGGCTGCTGAAACGGTCTTCCCGGAAGAGAAAACGAATTCCTGGAAGGAAGCTCAGCGCACTAAGTAGTAAACAGGCTGCTTCCCTGAAGAAAAAAAATACCGGAGCTCCGTCTTAGCAGCCACGGGTCTGCCAGCCTTGGCCCGGCTTCTGAACGTTGCTGCCCAGGGTTCTGAAAATCCCAGCTGGAAAGACCAAGTGAAAGAGGATGGTTCGACCAATGGCTGCGAACTGGCAAGATTCGCACTGGCAAGACTCCCCGCCCACCCCCTCCCCCCTGGGCACGCCCGTTATCGCCAGGGGATACAAAAAACTGTCTCCTTCTCGGGCACGCCAACCTCCTTGTTTACAAAAAGTCCCCTTTGAGAGGGCCCCGAAAGGTACAACAACTATCCTGGCGAAGGGCACCATGTGCAGTTGTAAGAGTATCGCCGTTGTGGGCATCGCCTTCGGTGGATCTCTTGCTGGGGCCACGAAGCGTATAAAGAGTGTGACGAAATGGGGCGGGGACGCATGCGGGCGCAGCCATTGGCGCCTTCGGTGGCGCTCCATAAAGGGCCACGAAACAAGTGAGAGGTGTGCCGAAATGGAGCGGGGCCGCCGTGCGAACGTCGACACTGGGGCCTTCAGTGGAGCTCCCTATGGGGCCACGAAGCGTTGCTCTGAGTGGGGGAGACGCATGCGAACACCGCCACTGGGGCCTTCGGTGGAGCTCCCTATGGGGCCACGAAACGGTATACTGGGTGGGGGAAACGCATGCGGACACCGCAACGGGGGCCTTCGGCGGAGCACCCGATGGGGCCACGAGATGCTGTGCTAGGCGGGGGAGACGCATGCGGGCGGTGCTACTGGGGCCATGGAGCCACGAACACTATACTGGGTGGGGATGACGCATGCGGAGGGAGGAGGAGGGAAAGGAGGAAGGAAGAAGTGACGCGGGGCGCTGACTCTTCAAAACGAACAGCCAAACCCACAAGATGGTTGGGAAATAATGGCCGGCAAAAGACTCACCAGAGCCAGAATGGGTACGGAAAGGAAAGGGAAGAAGACCGACAGCAATTCCTGCCTGACGGTGTCGCCGCGGATGCTATCCGGTCGAGACAGACGCCCGCCTGCCCAATAGCGGCCGCTGTCGGTTCCGGGCAACATGTGTGGGTGGGCATCGTGCCCATTCTTTCCATGCACGTCTCGGGCGTCAAAAGGGACGGCGAGCGTCCCGGGGGCAGAGGCCAAACGAGCTCGAAGCGAGCTCCCCCCCCCGATCGCTCCAGGAGGAGGCCAGCGGCAACCTCTGCCCGTTCTCCCGAGAGCTGTTTGTAGAGGCCTGGAAATTGGCACCAACACCAACACATGGGGGTTTGCCTCCACAGGGGGAAGATGATCCTGGATTTCGATGCTGGTGGTAATAGCTCGGTCACCTTGGAAGCTAGAATATTACCACCATCACCGAGATCGGGATCTTCTTCCCTCGGTGGAGGCACACAGCCGATAGCGGTGGTGTCAATCTCTTAGCCTGCGATGTTGTTCTACCTCCGCTGACCTTCCGCCGAGGGAGCTGCGCAAAGCCCTCGGCCCCTCGAGGGCGGGCCCCCCTTCTGGTGCGAGTCATCCAGGCCTGTGCTCTCCCCCGGAGGATGCGACAGGCTCGTGCCGTCCCGGCCGGGGCGCGGTTCCTGACACCGCGGGGACCGTTCAGCCTGGAACGATCGGCCGCCGCTTCCCAGACGTCATACCGTTCAACATCGACCGATTCTGGTCTCTGGCGGCGTTTGAACGCCGGCGGCAAGATCGCGGCCGGTCGACACTACGCGAACTGACCGTACAGGCCGTTGGAAGAACTAGGTGGAAACACGAAACGGGAAGGCGGCCAAAACAGATTGGGCTCGGGCCCGCCCAGAGAACCACGCGAGACAGCAAAAGCACCTCGACTCTGGGAGTGCAGATGCACCTGCGTTTTTCGATCTGCGAACGCCCGCCGGGGCAGGAGCTGTTTGTCAGCGGCGGCGCGAGGGCACGCAGCGTCGGGCAGCCGCAGCAGGTGTGCGGGGGCAGACAGCAGCCGCACCTCCGCAGCAGCAAGCAGAGCCAGCAGGCCGACCTCGCGCGGGCCTTTCGAGGCGGAGGGCGCCAAGAACGCAAGATGAGCAAGCAGCTCGCACACAGGAGCGCCAAGAATGCGAAACTGCGCAGCATATCGCCGAGCACATAAGACGCCAAGAGCTCCAAATGAGCAGCTCGCCAGACAAGAACGCCAAGAACGCCGAGAACACCAGAGCCCGACTCACGAGGCCAAGATCGCAAAACAACGACAAGCACAGACACACATACACACACAGGGCGTTTGGCTGTGCCGTCGGCCGCGCGGGCGCAGAGGCCGCGCGGCGGCGGCGGCCGAGCACGGGACCGCTTGCTCTTGGCTGCGCCGTGGGCTGCGCACTCGGCGGCCGATGCCAAGACGGCCTGCCGGTTGGTTGCGCCATCGGCTGTGCATTCGGCGGTCGATAGTACACGGTCTGCTATCCCTGAGATCCTGGCGTTGCAATTTTCTCACAGGAGTTTCCGCCTAATTTCGAGACCTGGGACTCTCACAGATCGATCCGGCTCGAAAAGTGATGCAGAAAGATAGGGTCCAGGGCTGCGGGCGTGATTGTTTGCGATGTTGTAATTTTTTGTTGCAACGTCTGATCTCAGGGATGCACGGCCTGCCATTGTTTGCGCCATAGGTCTCGCACACGGTGGCCGATGGTAAAGTGGCTTGCCATGGGTTGCGGCGGCCGAAAAGAAAAACGACCGCTTGGGGGTTACGACCAGTCAGTCCACGCCAGTGGACCTCGCGGAGACACAGGCCACGCCCGGAATCGTTGCCGAGCCAGGCGCCAGCGGTCAGAATGCAGGGGTGAACGATTTGCCTGCCACTCGGGCAGCCCTCGCCACCTTCGCCACCGGCCTCGCAGCCCTTTTCAGGCTCGGGCGTCCTGCGCGCCCCGCTGCCGCGCGCGTGGCCGGCCGCCGAGCCCGCCTCCGAGGAACGATGCCGAGCCGCAGCGGCCGCCCGCTCCGCCGCACCGCCATCGCCGCGGCGGGGCTCGCGCTGGTGGCGCTCTGGGGGCGGTCGGGCTCGGTCGCCAGCGTGAACGCCAAGGACGTGCTGCGCTACCCCGTCGGGCTGCGCCACTCCCTGGCAGCGGACAACGGGCGGTTCTCGGTGCACGGCATCTCGCAGAGGAGGGCCAGTGGGCCCTGGCCCTCTCGGAGGGGGGCTCGCCCGTGGCCGCAGTGCAGAAGCTGGGCGGCGGCCCCGCCAAGAGCGCCGTGTCCTACGACACGGACAAGGTCAGCCTCAAGCCCAGGCTCGCCGCGGCCGTGCAAGGGATCCGCTTCTCGGCCACGGGCACGGAGGAGGGCGGCCTGGGCAGCGCCGACTGGGCGCTGCAGGTGCGCGGGCAGGCCCTGCGCGGGGTGACAGGGTGTAGAAGGTGGGACAACAATGAAACGCGCGCGTTTGCGCACGGCCGAGCACTCAGAGACCACTAAGGGCCTCGCAGCCGCCGGCAGCCATGACCACCCGAGCAAGGACGGCGGAAAGGGGGCGACGAGCAGCCGCACACATCCACACACACTCACACAGACGCGCGCACACTTTTTGGCGGTCGCGGCCTCGCGCGCAGCTTCGAGGCGGAGAAAGGCAAATGCAAAGCCCGGGGACCCGCACACACACACACACACACACACACACACACACACCGCGCGCACACACGCACACACACACCACACACACACACACACACACACACACACACACACAACACACACACACACGAACACGATCCCGCGAACGGCCCCTCCAACAGATTTGCTAGTGCCTCCGAATCCTCCTCCCTCCGTGCTCCTCATGCTCATTATCATTCCCAGCGTCCTCGTCCCGCCAATCCGACCTCGAGCCTGACTCGGTTCACAGGCCCTTGCAGTGCGAAAGTTCGCTACTAGATCCCCTCCAACTAAGGAGGAGACGAACTCTTCGACTGCCTGGGGTCCGTCTATGTTCACCTGCTCACAGCTCCAACCGAAAGGCTGAATGTGGAAATCGTCCAGCACGAGCACCCGCAACCTAGTGCAGCGCAAACATATGCCAGAAACAAGGTCGAGGAACGGAAAGATTAGCGAAGCGAGTAAGAGGGCGAGGGCGAGGGCGAACACGACGAGAGAAAAGAAGATGACCGGAGCGACAAGCCAAAGGGGCGATACACAGAACAGTGAACCACTAGCGCATGGGAGATTAGGGCAAGCGCACAAGCAGCCAATCGTCTAAAAGTCACGGTCGGAAAGCAGATGGCAGACGCAGAAGGAAAGTGATCGTCCCTCTCAGAGCAGAACCCCCCAGACACTTTAGGAACAAGCCTCCGCTGGGGCAGGACGAGGCAGGGGCAGGAGGAACAGAGAAGAGGACGACGTGCACCGGCAATGCTAACTACTTTCTCGCTCCCCCCACTTTCCTTCCATAGCAACAAATTGTATGATGAGGAAAAGCATCGCTCCTTCTCAGCGACGCCTGTGCTCAATCTTGCTGCCGCCCGTCCCTGCTGCTGCGGAGGCCCACGCGGGCACGGGCCGCAGGGGCACCAACGGTCCGAGCCAGCAATTTCAGCATGGAACGGGTGCGCCAACGAGGGGGGTCAAGAAGAGGAGGGCCAGCACATCATGACCTGATCATGTGCGCGGACCAAGAAGGGGGGGGTCCAGGGAACGCGTGGAACGGTCTGAGCATTGGGGAATGCTGCGGTTCTGCTTCCATGGCAAAGTCGAGGTCAACGGCAAGGACAGCCCTCCTGTCCTTCTTCCCTCTTCACCTCCTCCTCCCTTCCCCTTCCCCTTCTCCTCCTCCTCCTCCGTCCTCCTCTTCCTCCCTCCTTCGTCCCGTCTGCTCCTCCCAACCCCCTCCTCCTCATCCCCACCCCCCTTCGTCGCTCAGGAGTTCGACGCGCGGTCGAACCTGAGGCCCGTTTTGCAGCAGGAGATCAGCAAAGCCCACATGGCCCACTGCAGGAACACTCTCCAGAACGTGCCAGCCTCCGACACTTCGAGCGAGGTCGCGGAAGCAGTGACCGCAGCCTTGGGCGCGGAGGCAAACGCTCCCCAGGCCACTGACATTATCGACGGCGACTGCAGAAGACGGTGGATGTAACGCTCGGTGCTTTCAACAACCAGACATTCATCTTGGCGGTGGCCTCTTTCGCTACCCTTAACACGCTGATTAGCAAACCAGCAATGCATCCCGCGCTCGCTGCTATCCAGGATGAGGTGGGCCGAAGGCTGAACGACATGGGCGGCTGCGTCGAGCACGAAGCGTCCCACGTGCCCTTGACGAAACTCCTTTACACATTGCACGAGGTGTCCTCGGTAGTGTTCCCCTGAGGCCTGTTCCAGTTCATCATGGGCGTCCTGGAGCTTACTTGGGATGAAAAGGACGCGCCGATCGGCGTGCTCTCCTATGGGGCCATCGACGACAAGCCTTTGTGCCTTCGTTCGTCTTCGGGCATCCTACAGTGGGGGCCCGACCACAAGAAACCTTCCACAAGAAACCCAACCATGAGACCCCAGGACGTTGATCGATTGTTGGCGTAGGAACGTCACGCTATCCATGGCAAAACTACCGAAACCCAAGAAACCCAGGGCACCCTGGAGACAAGCAGGGTGTTCCTTGGCATGCGTCTGCACTGCACCTTCACGAGATCTCTAAAACGCTTGCGAGTGGACAATCGCGCCTCACAGGGCTGAACTGCACAGCGCACGTCAACGAGACCGCCAGCCGCATGCATGACACCGGGCTCATGGATTGCGCCCAGGCTTCTGGCGAGAAATGGGTGGAGAGCCACTTCAGCGTGAACGCAGACTTCGTGAGCAACTACTGGATACCTACCAAACCACCTCAACCCAACCCGACGACCCGAATTCCGGGCCGGGAGGTGCAATTACGGGCTCCACGCTTGTTTTTTTCAACGCTCCCCGACGCCCACCCCACTGGGAATGGAGGGCAAGTTGGGGCCTCCGGGTTGTGTTGGGGTGGCTTGGTGGATGGTAAGCCACGACGCGAGGAAATTCGAGAAGGTCCTCTTCCGGGCTGGCGGCGCGTCGCCAGCCCCTCCGCCTGCGGCGGCGGGCGGCGACCGACGCGCCGCCCGCTCCACTGCTGGCCCCGCTCAGCCCGAGGGGCGGGCTGCCCCGGCGCTGGCGGCGGCGGCCGCGGCTCTTGCGGCCGCGCAAGCTGGCGTCGACGACGATGAGCCCAAGATGGCTACGATGGCCGCGCCGCCTCCCCGTCCTCCTCAGCAGTCCTTCCTCCCCCCTCCTCGCCTTCCCTCCTCCCTCCCCTCCCTCCCTCCTCGCTCTCCTCCTGCCTCCTTACCCCCAGGGGGAAAGCTCACACCCACCTACCTCGGAGCCAAGCTCAAGAGGCTTGAAAGCTGAACCTGAACCTCAATTGGGCGATTTTGGAAACCCTGACCCAAGAACGTGTTCATCTCTTGGGGGCGCATTGTTTACTTTCGCCGCCTTCTGCCAGCCTTCCGCAGGCTTCCGCCAGCGGAGGCGGCCTCGTTTTGCTTCCGCCGGCCTTCCGCCGACCTTCCGCCGAGGAAGACATGGCCACTTGTTCGACTCTCGGAGGCAAGGCCCTTTTTGGAACGCATCATCTGGGACAAGCGGGGCCGTCGTCAAGGGTTTCACGAAGTCCTTGGAAGCGCGGTTGTTCCAGCAGGTCTCGGGCATCGAGCAGACTCAGGATGGCGAGACACCCTTCCAGCCAGACTCGCGGATGGGCAGCATCAATATTGCACCCAAGGTCTAGCCCGTGAAGCTCATTGTCGAAAAAATGCCCGGATAACTGCGCCTGCGCTCCTCTGGCCGCGCTGCGCAGACGGCCACTCTCGGGAGCTTGCCGCTGTGCAAAGCGTTTGGCGTCAAGTTGTTCGTGTCCAGCGGCGGCGAATCTGACAGCTCGGACTGCCCCAACACCGCGCATGCCACTTGGCTGGTGAAGACGAGCGCGAAGGCTACGGCAGTCACCGTCGCGCGCGAACGCCTGGCCAACCCTACGCGGGACCCCCCGTCCTACCTGCCAAAAAACATCGCAACGTCGACGGTGTTCTTGCCAGCTGGTATTTTCTCCTCGTCGGCGATGCGAATCGCGTGGCGGGAACGGGACGCGGTGCACATCGCGCGGGGACGCCTGCTCATCAACATGGATGTTCTCGTCGTCGACGCTGCGGCCCGTCGGGTTGAGGAGCTGGGCGGGCGGCAAGTCATAGTGCCCCAGGCAAATGCGGTTCGCCGCCGGCGCGCGTGGCTGGAATGAGACGCGGCGCACTTCGCGCGCTGGACATGGTGTCGCCGACGATGCAGCATGAGAGGCCGGAGCGGGGCGCGGCGTACATCGCGCGCGGTCTTGTTTCTCGCCGACGCTGCTCAATGCGAGGCAAAGATAGGACGCAGCTCACGTCGCGCGCTGAACGTCTAGCCGCCGACGATATAAGATGAGCGACAGGCGTCGAACGCGACGCACTTGCTTCTTATGTTGTAGGAGGGCGGGTTGGAGTGCACGGGGCCCTCTGGCTCGCTCGAGCTGGCTAAGTTGACCCCCCCCTATCCCTTTCTCCCCCTTTCCCTGTCCTTATCCCCACCCCCCCTTTCCTAACCCCACCTGTCCCTATTCCCCCCTTCCGTTCGGCCCGACCCTCTGCTCTCACTGCACACCCGGGAGAGAGGCCCAGCACGCAGACTCCGCGGGGGGGCCTGCCCGCGCGGCGCCCGGCCAGAGGCCCCCTCGCGGCACAGTGCCGCTCCACGAACAGCGCGATGGACTGGAGGCGGACTTCTGGGCGCGCGGGCGGGCGGGCGCTCTGGGGGAAGAACAAGCCGCGTAAACATTAGCTGTTGGCGCTCCGCGCGGATTGCTTGGATCCGCGCCGGACCCCCCTCCCTGGCGCGCGGAGCGCGCCAGGGGCGGCGCCGGAGGCGCCGCTGGGGGGCCCAGGCGCGGGTCCAAGCAATCCGCGCGGAGCGCCAAAAGCTTCTGTTTGTGTGTCTTTGTTCTTCTTCGACGCTCCTAACCAACCTCAAACTGATACCTGTCCCTCAGATCGGCAAGCCCGAGGCGATGACAACCTTAGGGGTGTGCCCTCAGAACTGAGGGAATCCTCTTCAGATTAGCATCCAGGTGAGGTGATGCCAAACACAGGGATAGGGATCATGTGTCCAGTTGGTGAGCTCTGGCCCGCGGGGGGCCTGGGAAGCAGTGAGCAGGAGCGCGCAGGCGCACGCCGGCTTGGCTCGTGGGTCCCCTCCTGCTGCCTCCAGAGAAACGGCCTCCCAGCTGGGGTCGGAGAAGAGGGGGCGCATCGGCGAAGCATCGGCGACGCCGGCGATACGTCGGCGACGTCGGCGGGGAGAAAGTCAGGCTCCACGTCGAGCCGCATCAGGCATACATCGGCGATGCGGTGCGTTCCTTCGACCCCGTCCACCTCGACCCCATCTGGGAGGCCTAGAAAGAGATGAGCATACGGTCGAATGCGATCCACTGCCCGTGCGAACGCCTGCTCATTAGCAACATGCATGAGCACTGGGTTGCTGGCTGGAGGCGCGCTGGACAGATCCGCCGAACGTCTCGGCGTGCGGGAGAGCTTCGCGACTGCTGTGCAGAACACCTCTTCGCAGAGCTCTGCAGAGCCGAACATCCCGGAGCGAGGCGAGGTCGCTGAATGGAGCGCTTCAAGGTCGCCAGCCCAAGAGAACTCGTTCAAACCCGCAACAAACTCGGAAGGAAACCCCTTCCCTTGATCCATACCCCCGGGGGGGGGTCCCGTGCCCCCCCCCGCCCAGCACCCAGGGAGTGTCCCGGGAGAGGTTTGGGATCAGAATGCGATCCTGTACCTTCTCCTTCTCGTTCATCCTCGAGCCAGTCCACGACAGCTCAAGGAAGCGTCGGGAGGACCACCCCGAGAGTCCCAGAAGGCACAAATCACTGCCCCATGCATTGGTCTTCGGAAGGATTCATCGTTCTCGGTTTCTCTGTTTTTCCACACTTCAAGCAGGCCCCAGAGGCCCCCGATATTTCTCCAAGACGACCAAGAATGCCCAACAGAGGCTGGGCGCGGGGTAGGGCGCGAGGTAGGGCGTGAGGAAGGCCGTCGGGTAGGGCGTGGGGTAGGGCGCGGGGAAGGGCGCGGGGTACGGCGTGGGGTAGGGCGTGGGGTACATAGGGCGCGGGGTAGGGCGTCGGGCTGGGCGACAAACTAGACTGGCAGCAATACACTTGAGAACTAGACTGGCAACGATAAACTGTACTGGCCGCCGTGGATTGGAAAGCAATCTTCGTTGTCGACGTCATTCGGCTCGCCATCGTACCAGTTCGAAGAGCTGTCCGTGCCTCCGTTCGTCCAGAACTTGTAGTGTCACTCAGTATCGATACCATGGATACCGATCCGAGCCCCATGACCGCACGCTTGGCCAGCGGCTGTATTATCCGAGGAACCCTGCGACATCGCCGGCTCCTGTTCAACCGCAGCCTCAGCGGGACCGTGGCCGCTGAGCAAGAGGGCCACGGCTGCAACTGCTGCTGCCCTGGGCGCCGCCACCAAGACACTCACAGACTGCGATGCTGCGACCGGCGGAACTGAAGAAAACCGTCCAAACAGTAAGCGGAATGTACACGGATGACCTGGGCCAACATGGAGGAAGAGCAGGAGAAACATGAGGAGGAGGACAAAGAGTATGGGGGGGAAAAAGCCAAAGAGCGTGAGGAGACGTTCGAAAGAAAGAGGCCCCGACAAGGGAAAACGGACTCTGGGGAGGGAGGAAAAAGGGGTTTCACCAAACACCGCCCCGAGCAAGCGAAGGCCTTGCTAGACTTTCACCAGGCCCACGTTTTCTAGATTTCAACACTGGCCCGCCGCGGTCGGCCTTCTAGAATCTTAGGGACCGTCCATCGTTGTCGTCGGTCGCCGTTGTCGGTTGAGTCGGTCGGTCGGTCGGGCGTCGTCAATCATGGTTGTCGTTCGTTGTCGTCGTTGGCGGCCGCCGTCCGTCGTCGTCGTCGCTCGGTCGGTCGGTCGGTCGGTCGGTCCGGCGGTCGTCGTCGCCGTCGTCGTCGCTCGGCGGTCATCGCCGTCGGTTGGTCATCGTCGTCGTCGTCGTCGTCGTCTTTCGTGGCCGAGTCTGGGCCATTGGGGGCATTCAACCTTGAAAGCCCGAGCTGGGGTCGTCGCCGCCTCCCACAAGAAACCCCGACGATGTGCAACAGGGGGGGGTTACCCGGAGCACCCTGATTGCAGCAGTTCTGATCGCCCCGGGAAGTCCCAACGCACCGCACGAGGCGACGAAACTCGAGGTACCCTCACAGCAACGAGCACCGTGTGACTCGTTGCGCGAACCTGCCATACCGGCCATCCCCCCCCATGATAGCGAGCCATGCACGCCCGCGTGCAGCGATCTCCTGGGGCCCCACTCTCCTCGCACGCGTCCGTGTGGGCGCCGAAGGAGAAGGGCTCCTCCAGGTGGCGGCCCAGCGCCTCTGGGGTGCGGCCAGATTGCTCCCGCATTGTCCTTCTCGTCCTCATCATCATCAGCATCATCATCATCCACCTCCTATGGTGCTTCGTCCTCATCCGCATCATCATAGACCTCCTCTTTCATCACCATCATCATCAGCATCAGCACCATCACCAGCATCATCAACATCAACATCATCATCATCATCATCATCATCATCATCATCATCATCATCATCATCATCATCATCATCATCACCATCACCATCACCATCACCATCATCATCATCATCATAATCATCATCATCATCATCATCATCATCATCATCATCATCATCATCATCCACATCATCATCATCATCATAATCATCATCATCATCATCATCATCATAATCATCATCATCATCATCATCAGCAGCAGCATGATCATCATCATCATCATCATCATCATCATCATCATCATCATCATCATCAGTAGCATCATCATCAGGAACATCATCATCATCAGCAGCATCATCGTCAACATAGTCATCATCATCCTCATCTTCATCCTCATTATCGTCACCATCATCATCGTCATCAACCTCATCATCATCATCGCCGTCACCATCATCATCATAATAATCAGTAGTACCATCATAATCAGCATCAGCATCATCATGACCATCAGCATATTCAGCATCAGCATCATCAGCACCACCACCATCACCATCATCACCATCAGCTTCACCACCACCATCACCATCACCATCACCATCACCATCACCATCACCATCATCATCATCATCATCATCATCATCATCATCATCATCATCACTATCATTAGCAGTAGCAGCATCGTCATCACCAGCATCAGCATAATCAGCATCGACATCATCATAATCAGCATCACCACCATCACCATCACAATCACCATCACCAGTTTCCTCCTCATCATCATCATCATCATCATCAGCAGCAGCAGCAGCAGCAGCATCATCCTCACTAGCATCAGCATCATCAGCAGCATCATCATCAGAATAATCCACCCCCCTCTCTTGCTCCTCCTCCTCCTCATGATCCTCCTGCCGCGTAACCAAATCCTTCGCATCCTCCGCATCCTCCTCCTCCGCCTCCTCCTCCTCCTCTTCCTCCTTCTCCTCCTCCTCCGCCACTTCGTCAGCCTTGCCGACGGACTGCCCTGGTCCACGACAACTAGCTGCGCCATTCGCTCAGCAACTGGATTCGGGGAGGTGGCCCCCATTGGGGCCGTCTCCCCCAACGACGCGTGGCCCTGAAAAGTGAGACTCCGCATCCCAGGAAGAGGGCACGCGTCTGGGGCGGCCCCACCAGCCCACTGCAACCTCAAAGTAGCGCGCAGCCTACGACAGGAGAGCGCGCCGACATTGAGCCTGTGGAGCTCGCAGCGGAGCGCCTGGCAGAGGCGCATGCTAGCCTTGTGGCGATGGGCCCCATCACGTGAGCTTGACGAGAAGATTTGCGAAAACGACGTGAAAGAACACGGAAAAAATCGTCATCCGTCTACAGAACCCCCCTGGATGTAAGGGTGCGACTAGGTGGGGTCGCAGGATCTCGCCACATGGCCAATACATCGCCGATGCATCGCCGATGCATCGGCGATGCATCGGCAACGTCAACAATGCATCGGCGACGTCGGCGTGGGGGAAACTCGTGCTCCACATCGAGCCGCATCGCCGATGCATCGGCGATACGGAGCGATCCTTCGACACCATCTACTTTGACCCCATCTAGAAGCCTAGAAAAATCCTCGTCGATCCATCTACCCGTGCACCCCTCCGCCCGCCCGCCCGCTGACACGCCCACCTGCCCGTTGTTGTTTCTTCCGTCCGTCCGCTGGGGCCCTGGCAGATACTTCATGCACAGTGTCGAACAGGGGAAACCTCCGCCCCTGTCGCCGTCGACTCCCACCTCGTCCGCCGCCTTCTCCTCCATCCTCGCCCCAGGGCTCCGCTCGGACACCAACAAATGATGGGTAGAAGAGATGGTTATGAGAAAATTCCTTCAGGCCTCGCGCGGCAACTTGAGACCCCATGCACGTGGGATTCACGTCGGATATACGTCGGGCTCGTCGGAGTTACGTCGGATGCACGTCGGATGCACGTCGGATGTACGTCGGATGTACGTCGGATTTACGCCGGTGCCTCGTCACACGAAGATTGCCCCGTATGTGACGGGGCGGACGTGAGGACCAGCTGATACCACTATTGCGCGCCGAGCGAGGCCTCCAGGATTTCATGAGAAGGACGTGGGAGCAAGGGCTCCCAACTTCGCGCTTCACGCTGCGCGAAGCGCGAAGTGCGAATAACTTCGCGCTCTCGCGCCGCCTCCCAGGGTAGAAGGGGAGGATGAGGAGGAATCGGAGCCGAACCGCGAAGCGCGAAGCGCGAATAACTTCGCGCACTCGAGGGCGCCCTTGTGGGAGAATGAGGGAGGAACACGAAAAGCAGATGTGCTCTCACCAAATGCGCCAGATCGTGGCATCGGATATGGTGCAAATCGTTGCCCGTGGCCGCATCGAGTGCGTCGGCCCACGGCTCATCCAGCGCCTCGAGCGCAGGACTTGACAACACGTGCGCCACGGGTGAAATGAACAGGCAAAACAGAAGAGGGAGATGACCGAACTGACTCCATCTTCGGGCGACGCCTGCGGCGCTCGCGGCGGAGCTCGCGCTGGCAGGAGGCGCTGCTTTGACGCAGAGTGCCGCCAGCCCGTGAGCACCACGCGGCTCGCGAGCAAGCAAAACATATAGACTACCACGAATTGCCCGCAGCAACCGCTCCACACCGATACTGTCAGCTCCCAATCGCGCACTGCACCGCCCTCACGGCGGGGGTCGTCGACCAGGCGACGGCGGGAGCCCGCGACTTCCAGACGATTGCGCAACACAAAAAGTCCCTCCAGCAGCGCCGCGAACAGTGCGCCTAGTGCGCAGCGTACGCGGGCAGATCGTTCAGCGTTGGAAGCAAGTCCGCCGGCGGCTTTGAGCCTGGACCGCCAAGCCGTGCGGTCGCCAACGAGTCGGCGCGACACGACCCCGTCAACACTGGTGGGGTGAGGAAGGCGGCCCCACCGCCGCGCCGCACATTGCGCGCGGCGTGTGCGAGCGCCTCCCGCTGCTGCGACGCGCACGCTGGGCTGGTCGGGAGCACGTTTGAAAACTTCGAATCTCGAACGTTACCACGCTACAGTGAGCGGCTTGAGTAAGGAACACTTACTTTTCAAAAGGGGCTCGGTCGTTCCTCAAGGCTTGCATGCGTTACGTATCCTTCCTCATGCGTTTATTATTATTATTATTATTATTAATATTATTATAATAATTAGTATTATTATTAATATTAATATTATTATTACTATTATTACGACTATCATTATTACTATTATTATTATTAAAATTAAAATTATTATGTATCGTTCCTTATGCTCTGTTCGGTTGGCCGAGGACTTTTGCCTGCTGCTGGCCCCGTGGGGCCACAGAGCCCCCGGGACAGGTGAACTGAAAGAGCGGCCTACCCCCCCTTGGCCACAGAGTTGCGCAGAGTATGCTTCTGCGTTCGCTTCTGCTTCTGCGTCGTCGTATTAGTAGTCTTGTATTCTTCTTACGAGTATAATTAACATGACTATTATCCTCAGTAGTAGCATGCGTCTGCCTCGTGTTAGTAATGGTCTTCGAATGATTTGTACCTGTCGTAATTCCCAACCATCCTGTGGTGTTGGGTCCTCGTTTTGAAGAGACGTCGCCCCGCGTTCCTTCCTCCTCCTTCCTCCTCCTCCCCTTCCTCCCCCCTCCTCCCCCTCCCACACCCATTCTGGCACACCCCTCGCACGCTTCGTGGCCCCATAGGGAGCTCCACCGAAGGCCCCAGTGGCTGCGCCCGCATGCGGCTCCACCTCCCATTCTGGCACACCCCTCACACGTTTCGTGGCACCATAGGGAGCTCCACCGAAGGCCCCAGTGGCTTCGCCCGCATGCGGTTCCACTCCCCATTCTGGCACACCCCTCACACGCTTCGTGGCACCATAGGGAGCTCCACCGAAGGCCCCAGTGGCTGCGCCCGCATGCGGCTCCACCCCCCATTCTGGCACACCCCTCGCACGCTTCGTGGCCCCATAGGGAGCTCCACCGAAGGCCCCAGTGGCTGCGCCCGCATGCGGTTCCACCCCCCATTCTGGCACCCCTCACACGTTTCGTGGCCCCATAGGGGCTCCACCGAAGGCCCCAGTGGCTGCGCCCGCATGCGGTGGCACACCCCTCACACCTTTCGTGGCCCCATAGGGAGCTCCACCGAAGGCCCCAGTGGCTGCGCCCGCATGCGGTTCCACCCCCCATTCTGGCACACCCCTCACACGTTTCGTGGCCCCATAGGGAGCTCCACCGAAGGCCCCAGTGGCTGCGCCCGCATGCGGTTCCACCCCCCATTCTGGCACACCCCTCACACGTTTCGTGGCCCCATAGGGAGCTCCACCGAAGGCCCCAGTGGCTGCGCCCGCATGCGGTTCCACCCCCCATTCTGGCACACCCCTCACACGTTTCGTGGCCCCATAGGGAGCTCCACCGAAGGCCCCAGTGGCTGCGCCCGCATGCGGTTCCACCCCCCATTCTGGCACACCCCTCACACGTTTCGTGGCCCCATAGGGAGCTCCACCGAAGGCCCCAGTGGCTGCGCCCGCATGCGGTTCCACCCCCCATTCTGGCACACCCCTCACACGTTTCGTGGCCCCATAGGGAGCTCCACCGAAGGCCCCAGTGGCTGCGCCCGCATGCGGTTCCACCCCCCATTCTGGCACACCCCTCACACGTTTCGTGGCCCCATAGGGAGCTCCACCGAAGGCCCCAGTGGCTGCGCCCGCATGCGGTTCCACCCCCCATTCTGGCACACCCCTCACACGTTTCGTGGCCCCATAGGGAGCTCCACCGAAGGCCCCAGTGGCTGCGCCCGCATGCGGTTCCACCCCCCATTCTGGCACACCCCTCACACGTTTCGTGGCCCCATAGGGAGCT